AATCCACAGTTTTTTGTTGAAAGACATGTTCATCACACTGTTGGAGTTATGGTTTGGGGTGCTATAGCTTATGGTTCCAGGTCACCTTTAATCTTCATCAGAGGTAACATGAACGCGCAGCGTTATATCCACGGAGTTCTAGAACCCCATCTTTTACCCTATCTTGACACCCTGGCAGATCCAACTTTCCAACAAGATAATGCCCGACCACATGTTGCAAGAGTCACAATAGACTTCTTTCAACATAATGATGTCACATTGTTACCATGGCCACCAAGATCTCCCGACTTATCCCCAATTGAGCACGTGTGGGATATGATGGGTAGGAGATTGCTCAATTTGCAACGTCCTCCTCAGACTCTAGAAGCACTTCGAGAGGAGTTTTCGGTTGCCTGGAATGAGATACCACAGGAGGACATTGACCACCTGATCAGAAGCATGCCTAGGCGCGTTGGAGAATGCGTAGCACATCAGGATGCATCCACACATTATTAAAGGTCAAAGGGCTTTAAAGCAGTGCAATCATTTTGAAATTTTTATCATTTACTTATTATGCTTCATTAAGTACTTATACAAAGTTTGATTAAAATAAAACCATTTAAACTGGGTGTTCGGATTTATATGTCACTTAGTACATTTCTATATACTCGTATATGTACAGATTAGCGGCCAATCTTACTCAAATATTTAATTTTTCCCTAGTTCCAGAGACAGTTTAGAAGAAATCGATCAAAATCATCAGAACTATTAGGTTCAAAACGCCTTCTCATTGGACCAATTTGTGTCAAACGCACATGCTTTGATTCCCGCGAATCAGCAGTAAAAGCGGGCCCCTATATCTGTACTATAACTTGGTGTCTGTACTTTTTTCACGGTTTTTGGCGATTACGTTACAGTGCCATACGAAATAAGTAAACAGATTGAATGACGGTACCATGTGCGTAGCTTAGTTTTCCTAAGGGGGAATTGCACTCTGTGCAAGCCGATCCGCAACGCAGTTATCTTCACTCACATTCTGAAAAAACTCCAGTCACTTACACTGTTGACATTGTAGTTGCACCATCAAGGAATACTATGTTTCATATTGAAGATGAGCAATGGTAAACACAAATCGTACACCCATGACAAACATATACTGGCAGAGGCAAGCATACAGGTGGAGTTTGAGTTTACACATGCACAAGTCCGCGCATAGAGACCGATTGTACAAGTATACCTATGTATGTATGAGGGTGATAAGCGAAACTAATCCTTTTAGTTTTACTGTGAGTCGCCAAAACTCTAAAAAAAACCTGTAGAAGATTGCAGATTATAACCATTTCCAGTTGTTACCCACTTTAAAGAAACACCCTGTTACTAAGTAGTTTATTAAACATATAGAATAAGATCCCCCCTCCCCCCCGTTGGATCAATAAGACATTATCTTCCATATCGACAGGAGTATTAACCCTAGCAATCTTCTTGACAGATTGCCGACGTTGAGCGAATAAAATGCCTCCTCCTTAAAGGAGATAACGTTCTCGACCCACTTTCGACGGGCTTTTCACTTCCGCTCTTTTCGGAAGTAGAAACGCAGAAATAGAATAGATAAGGACTTGGTAATAGTCCAATCAGTTGATAGTTTTACTTGGAGAGTATTAGCTGAGTTTTCAGGCGTTGGTATTCTTGTAGACTCCAGCATGCTCTTGAAGAGTTTTTACTTTGCTACGTCATACCTTTTCATGGTGCATAAATGGCACCCACACAGTTTTGCACACTTTCTCCATTCCCTCTCTCTATCCCTCTTTTCTCTTTGCACTCTCTCTCTCTCTGTTTCGCTCTACAATAATAATAATAATTTATTGTCATATGATTTACAGTGGTAATCATAGACAATGTCAACATGAGAATGAATAAACACTTTGATAACACAATTTCACATTTAAAAGCATCATTGCCACACGTAGGTACACATAAAAATATTACATCAACAAACTTTGGACAATTAAAATATTCATTCAGTGAATAAAAGGCCTTTTCTATTAAATAGGCTAAACATTTTTACACAGTTATAGTATGGGCTTTGCTCATATAATCTGGTCTTAGAATGGGGGACACTTAGATTTTTACAATTTCTAGTGATCATGTTATTGTAATAACAACTGTTTTTCCAGTATTTATCGAGACTTTGACTTGTATCAATACATATACTTAGTATGTATATTACATAGAACTGTTTGACGTACTCTCTGCAAGATGTTATCTGGGGTAATAAATAAAAACCTCTGCAGATTTCGAAGAGTGAAACCAAATTACTATGGTGTTTTGTATTATAGATTGTACATAAGCAAAATAAACCATTTTCAAGACTCCAGTACTAACTTTATCTCTAATACTGTGTACTAAATAGCATGCAGAGTTCATTTTTGATAGCACTGCTGTTCTGTCCACTTCAATGAATGGTCTATCTAGAAACTGTGCAGCGTTCGTTTGAACTATGGTTTTTCCGTTTAATTTCACATAAAGTGATTTGGTAGAGTCGTTATTGAAGCATGCAATATTCGTTTTATAGATGTTCAAATGTAGTAAGTTGTCATTGCGCCATTGAGCTACATTAGTTACAAGCTTCATGTGGTTGTGTAGGTTTGAGAAAACTACTTTTGATATAAACATTTTTTACCTTAATATTCTTAGGTTCATTATTCCTGTCAGTATTATGGCTTATGTTAAAGAATTGTTTTACAAATGCGTTAGCTGTTTCTTGTGGACTGGGGTGATTATAATTATTTAACTCTATTGTCGTTTCAGTTTTGTTTTTCCGCTCATTCTGTAAACCAAAGACCAAGCACTTTTTATCCTATTGTATAAGTTTGTGGTGATATTATTATTATATGCTTTCCTAGTATCGTCAATGTATTTTCTATATCCTTTTCTATTACCTTTTTACCTTTTGTATATGCCTTCACATCCAGTATGCTCGTAAAGAAAATATAAATCTCGTAAGTTTTGTGATTGTTGTTTAATCTCAGGTGAACTCCAATTATCAATCCCTTTTTGATGCTCTTTAGTTCTTTGTAATGGAAAGTTTCTGTCAAAGTATTATGATAACACATTGAAGAAGCAGTCGTATTTGGCATTCACCCCTTCTGCTCGGTATACTTCATGCTAAGATTTCGACATCAAGTTATTTTAAAAGCTATCTAATGTGTCGTCTTCATATCGGCTTCTCATTTTAGTCGTAGGTCGTGATGGTGCTAAACAAAGGTGAGGGGATAGTGATCCGAGATATCTGATTCAATAAGTTGATAGGAGCAATGTTCCTCGGTAAGGTCAGAAAAAACGTTATCAATGCATGTACTAGAGACCGGTGTTACCCCTGTCATCGTGTTGATATGACCAATAAGGCCATAGGACTTAAATATAACAATTAGTTTATTACTGGAGTCGTTTGGATATGAGAAATTTAAATTGAAATCACCACTACAATAAGATGTCGCTTTACCTTATACAGCTTATCCAGCAGCAAACTCAATAAGTCTAAAAATATGACAATATCTCCATTTGGAGGTCTATAAATACTTATTATAGCAACACTAAGATCACAGGACAATAATTCCGCACACAAAAATTCAAAATATTTGTAGGGTGATGCTATATCTGCATTTACCTTTTTTATTTTCAGACCAGGGTTAGCATATTTGCCATACCACCACCCCCCACTAGTTACCTATATATAATTATTATCTATCGTATAAAGCAAATTTTATGTTCACACAAACAATGTTCATTAATGCTAATAATACCTGGATTTATATCATTCAATAATATAATATATTTAGTTAATTCCTGTTATTTCTTATGTTTCGAATATTTGCACTAAATAATTTAACCGTATCCGATTTTATCAATTTGGAATTTACATTCGTAACCACCGGCGTAATATTTGTTTTGTAACTTATTCCATACCCGCAGTATGGAAGATCCGGTTGTTCAACCCTGAAAAAATTGTTGTTTCGTCAAGGATATTTGTCATTTATTAGCATTGACATACAGTGGCGTAGCACATGTTTCGCTTCTAAATAAAGTTTTTAATTCAATCCTTGGACTGCGTCGTGGCAACTTATGAAGAACTTCATTTAAAGGAAGTCTAGTCAGAATTCTCAAGTTATTAGGGCTATCAAACAACTGAATGGAAGTGTTGACAAATTCACATGTAAATCGTTTTGTTTGCATATTGATCAGATGGCCAATTTTTGTGTCGCTTGTCTCACTATACCAAGATACAAACTATAAGGTTAGTTGTACTTGTTATTGGAAGTAAACTTATCAACCCTTGCTGTACCCCCAGGATTTCAGCGAATTGTCAGGAGCTGTCAGAAGCATTTTGTTTTGTTCTTCTAATATTCGTATCGAATCTACTATATTTTTGTTGAGATCAACCAGGTCCTGGATGTATTAAGTTTTATCAGTCAATTTCTAGTCTTGAGTATTTATTTTTATCTGTAGCTAGAACCTCGTATTTGAAATATTTTACTCGTTTCTTAAATGTCTCTATATATACTACTTGGTCGTAGTTGTCCTTTGTCAAGTTTTCAATTTCACTAGTCAACCTTATTGATTCTTGTGTAGTCGTTGCCTTTATGAACTCAATAATTTCTTCCTACTTCTGGAGTAAGACTTTCAGTTTTTCATTTTCTGCCTTCAGTATGTCGGCCTCCAAGTGTTTATTCTGATAGTTCCTTTCGCATAACTGTGAGCAGAATATTTCATAGTGTTCAACTTCGATATTTTTTTTTACTTTTTGCTGCGCAACTTTTATGATATATTTCAAAACACCCAATGCAACATTGACAAGTACTATCTTCGGAGCACCATTTCATCTTCCCTTCCATCATGATTTTATTGCCACTGGAATCCAGGAACTTGATATTTGTGAGTCACTCAAAAAAGATGGCAGTCTCGCAGCATAACTCGATGAGAAATTAGTGTGTTGCTTATACATCAAAAGAGAAGCCAGTGAAATCAGTTTACAGCGTGTTTAAAACTATTGTGCCAAAATGTAGTGGATAGTAGATCTCACCAAAGCGAACGTTTTTCACTTAGCAACCCATAGAAGCACGATAAATCCGTAACGCTCGTCGTCCGTTACCATCAGCTGAATACCCTGTATATGGCGTATTTTCCGGCAGGAAAATATCACAATTTTTGCAGATTTTTTCACTACCACATATTAACCACACCACACCATGTTCTCTCCAAGTCAGGTCAGTCAATGAAAATAACTGTATAATTTCACTACCTTTATGGATTCCGTGGTACTTTTCGCTATAGTGAACGTGACCTGAAAGTGTTAACTTACGTCTTAACCACGGCTTAACAATACATATCTTTATTAGAAGTCGTTATTCGAGGGAAATAGCTCCATGACAAATTATACTTGATAAAACAGGCGCCTCATTTATTTCAACATAAGTATCCTTATTTTCAATGAAATTTTTTTGAAAATGTCTTGATCGCAAATTATTCCGATATGAAAACATACATGCAATAATCTGTAAAAAATACATTTTTCTACAAAAAAATACATTTATAGTCAAACAACCGCGCTTTTGAACTGAATATATCTGTATTCTATCTATGTAACACTGACCAACCGCATACAGCTTTTCAGCAATCATCCATGTGGTGTGGTCGCGTGGAGACAAGCAATTCTGTTTAGCCTGTATTTATTTAAGCAATTTTGCGTAGCACGCAATTGCTGATTGTCAGGTCGTCCTTTTAATGATGGTGTGCGACATCTATTTATCCATAGAACGGGACTCATTTTCTACATTTTTCCAGCCTTGTATCGAGAGCGGAAAAGGTACGAGGTGCCATTGCGGAATCCAAAACAATATTTTTTTAAAATGCTCCCAAAACATACCAGACAAGATTTTTTTGGTCATCAAATGGCTGAACTATATTTGCGGACGTGAAATCACAGAAATAGAATAGATAAGGATCTTGTAATGCACCCTGATTACAGCAGCGCTGACCCTGAATTAGAGGAAACGTCTAATTAGTCTTGAAATGGGCGTACTTACGTTCAAGTTGAGCTTCTACTCGTACTATGTCTTCATCCCACAAGATATATTGTCGCGTGTAAGGTTGTTGTAGAAATAACCAGGCGTCTTGTAGAGATTTATGTTGGAGATCCACAGAGTCCATATGGCATCAGTCTATCTTCATGCTTAGTTCTCGATGTCAGTGAGTGAATACAGTATTTATTATACGCTATTTTTTGCCGATAAAAGGCATTCTCGCATTCGACGCCTTATTTTTGAAAAATCCAAATTAGTTACGACAGCCTTAAGAATTTTGAGTTCCCGAGAAACAATTGCCTTAAGAACACTACTGAAAATCGGTTTCTCTTAAATAAGTTTTAAACGACACTGTATAATTCAATAAAACAGCATAGTAACCAGTTCGGGCTTGACACGGTGACAATCTTGAAAAATGTGACCTTTGATTTTGAAAAATGTGCTTACGCTTGACATCGATATAGTGGCCTGTTCTTAAAAAACCAGCTGTGTCTTACTAACTGAGCTATAGGATCCGATAACTGATTCCACCATTCTGAAAATATATTAACTTTTATAAAGAATTTGTAATCAGTGACGGGCAGTCCCAGAATATGTTTTGTGCATTGCAAATTGACAGTTTTTCACAAATCGGATCATTTTATCAAAATAATAATAATAATAATAATTAACGTCTTTTATTTGTAATATTCTTACAGGAGGTGAGATTTAGATTATATATCTATTCTACCATCTAACCCCCTTAACAATACGAGATAAAAAAAAAAAAAGAATTTATTGAAAATTAATAGGCACCTGTATACAATAACGAATAATCCAAGTAAATACATAAGGAAAATATGAGGACACTTATGGGTTACAAACGATTTCGCTGCTGATCAAGAAGAACTTCTTTCACTTTTTTCTTGAATTTGGATAATGGATTGGTTTCTTTTAAACTGCGGTCTAAAGAATTATATGATTTGATCGCATTGTAAATGTATGAATTCTGAAATAGAGACGTGCTGTGGCGTGGAATTGAAAAAGTCTCTCTATATCTAATATTAATATGATGCATATTCCCTCTACGTATGAATTTGTTTACTAAATATGACGGTGTTTTTGAATAAAGAACCTTATGAGTCAGATTTAGGAGCTGGTACTTATACATTTTATCAATTTTCATCCATTTGAGTTCATTAATGGCATTCGATATATGATCGTATTTTCTGAAATCATTTACAAGCCTGCAACATGTATTCATAATACTTTGAATACGATTTCTTGTTATAATATCTAAATAGGGATAGTAAACCACTAAGCAATATGATATCTTTGAAAATACGAAATATTCACACAATTGCTTTCTCGCAGATTTATGTAATATAGCCTTATTTGCAAATAAAACTCTGAGAATAGCGTAGCACTGCGTAATTAGATAGTTCACGTGTGCAACAAATTTTAAGTCATCATCCATTATAATACCTAGGTTTTTCGAATGATCCACAGGAATTAATTTATTACCTTTTAAATGTATACGTATCTATGTCTATGTCCTTTTTTAAGGTATTCTTTTTTGTTCTATTTGCGTATACCAACATATTTGTCTTCAAAGGGTTCAAACGAAGATTATGACTACTACTGAACTTTTCAATTTGGGCAAGATCTTGATTAATTTTATTATTTGCGGTTTCTAAGTCATTACTCCTAAATGAATAGAAAATTTGAGTATCATCTGCAAAAAATTGTATGCTGCATGATTTTACCTCAGTTTCTAAATCTGAGATATATAATGAAAATAATAGCGGTCCTAAGACTGATCCCTGTGGTACACCAGAACAAATTTTTTGTTCCGTAGAATACTGTTGATTTAGACGAACTTTTTGATACCGATTTTCAAGGTAGGTTTGAATAAACGAAAGAGGTTTTTCAGAAAATCCATAGTAACTGCATTTAGATACAATAAGCGAGTGATTAATGATGTCAAATGCTTTAGTAAAGTCAAGAAGTATGAGAGCTACTGCTTTTTGGTTATCAAGTGCCATTGTTATATTGTCTGTTAAATCACAGAGTGCCGAAGCTGTATTATGACCTTGTCGAAATCCAGATTGTTTAGATGGAATAATTTTGTTAGAATATAAGTAGGCGCACAGCTGCTCGTAAACAACGCGTTCCAATACTTTAGAGAAAATTGGCAGTAGACTGATCGGTCTCAGTTGACCATAGTTAGTAGGATCAGAACACTTAGGTAGCGGAATAACTATAGCGCGTTTCCACTGATTGGGGAAATATCCCCTCTCTAAACAGCAGTTTATAATATGCGTTAAGTAGACATCAATTTCAGGTATACATAGTAGTATCATATGCAAAGTTATTTCATCTGTACCACTAGAATTTGATTTTATTTTATGTATAATTTTAACAACGGTGTCAATAGTCACTTTATTAAATTGAAATTTGAATTTTGAGTTATTTTTATTAGCTCGGTAATATGCAATTTTATCAGCACCAGCCAAATCACTATTCTCGAAAATTGAAATGAATGCCTCATTTATTTTATACGGATCGGACAAGCTCACGGGAATTGTAGAATCTTTCTGAGATTGTACTTTGAAAGTCTTTAGGGTCTTATAAAACTTTTTTATATCCTGATTTTGAACAGCTTGTAAATAATCTCTTTTTCCTCTTCGCACGAGCGTTAATGCACGATTTCTGAAATATGTATACTGTTGCCAAGAGGAGGCTGTACGATCACGTTTGAACTTTGACAAAGCTTCAGCCCTCTGCCTGAATACAAGTTTAATATTATCATCCAACCAAGGAGCTGGAGCTTTGTTTACACGCACTACCTTTTTTGGACAGTGAACATTAAATAAGCATAAAATACGTACTATCTGTTAAAAAGTTAATTTTATCTTCAATGTCATCTATCGGTATAATATGCCACCATGGAAAACTCTTGAGATCTTGTTCAAACGCTATTTCATTTAAACTATGGAAATCCCTGAATGTAACAAATTTCTGTTGATTTTTAGGAAGTGCAATACGTATATCACAGAAGGTTAAATAGTGATCAGTAATCATATCAGCATTAATAGTGCCACTCCTAAGACAACTTTCAGGCTTGCTCAAATAAATAGGATCTAAGAGAGTGGGTGTCGATTCAGTTATTCTAGTCGGTTCAGATATCACCTGTTTCAGATTATAAGAATCAAGGCATTTAGTCAAGTTGTTACAAACTAAAAGCAAATTAACATTGATATCCCCTGCAAGGATGATATCATCATATTCAGCTAATATGGCAGGCAACATGTTATCAAAGGTATTACCGGCTTCTGTAACAGAGCTATGTGGGGGCCGATAGAATATACCAATAGCAATTTTTTGTTCTGGAAGCTGCACCTTCAACCATATATACTCAAGACATGGGTCTTGCCCAAATGAAATTATGGAAGAGTTGTAGTGGTTGTTTACAAAGACTGCAACCCCACCACCTCGCCCATCTCTATCACAGCGATAGCAGTTGTATCCATTCATTCTTATATGGTCATTAGAAAATACATGTCTCAATTAAACTACTATCTATGCTTCCACAAAGTATCATTTTTGAATGATTCCTATATATGGTTTAAAAAAAGGTCAGTGCTATTTCGTCCTGGTGATTAAATGACTTAACGATTTTCCATTTGGATACCGTTTTGCGAGATCCCGACTGATTATTTACTAGGCTGCGAAAATTTTGTTACATTACACAGTGTTTTTCTGAGGTTATTTGAAAAAAATCACCACAGAGAATCAAGCTTTCGACTTTTGTCCAGCTTTTTGGATATCCACAGCAGTGTAATTTAAATATATTTAAAAATGACTCAATCTTTCGACGTCAAAAACTTTTTTCAAATATCATCACACTGCCATTATAATACATGGTATAAAAAATCGTATTAGAGCTAGTTCGATCCAGCCAATCTGAGAGAGGTGTGCTCACGAATTTTTAACACGCTTTTAATTAGCTTGGTTGTATGTATGTAACGAAATCTTCGAGCATACTTTTCACGAATTTCCAGAGGTTTCATTAACTTGAAACTTCGCACACGTATCAAGGACGGATGACAACGCAATAATTTGATAACATTTTTCCATTATCCTTATTAGGACCGCGAGGATGGATAAATTCTTTTATCGATCCTATGTAGAGGAGTAAGATAGATAGAGCTAGCGCATGCGTGCAGTTTCGGACTTACTCTTTGTTGATTCGGGTACTCGGCATAGCACAACGGAGGGAGATACTTTTGCAACGTAGTGCATTCTCACCTTGTTCATTGCGTATCTTTTTTTTTTTTGGCTTTAGGACCTCATCCATGCAGCCAGAAACTAGGTTGTTATATTTTACATTTCTAATTATGGACAAACACACAACGTCACAACATCCATGGCCAAGGCGAGATTCGAACTCGCGGCCCGGCCGACCGGCTGATCAGAAGCACGACACTCTGACCCACGCGGCCAACCGAGGTCCCAATTGCGTATCTTGCGATTAATACTGAGCTGGGCTTCGACCGTCCACAAGATGCAAGGTTGCTGCTGGACAATGGACAAGCGTTTGCAGCACTTAGTCGTATAAGATCTTTAGACGGTATTCGGATTGTAGAACTTGATTGTTATAAGTTAACAGGAAAAGTCCCATGTAACAGTGAAGCTTTAAATGAAATAATTAGATTACGAAATAATAATAATAATAATAATAATATTTATTCGCCAAAATACAAAAAATGGGCAAATAAATATGAAAAAACCACAGAAGGCATCGCCTGTGTGTGGTTTATATCTTAATAACTAACAATCAATCATATATGTGTATAACAATTATTGTTAAATCTAAAAGTAAAAGATGTAATTGGAATTTTGTAGTTTTAGTTTTCTATATAATTATGTATCATTCGCTGCACATTACTAACCCAGTCTTTCAATTTTCTTCTAAATTTTTTTTCCAAAATTAAGTATCTTTATTTCGTTTGGTACTACATTATATAATTTAGCTGCTAAGAATTTAAATGATTTTTTGAATAATGTTTTGTGTGGTCTTTGGATATTAGATGAGCCTATTCGAAATCGTGTGTTATGCTCGTGTTTATAGGATTTTTTCTTTTTATTACAATACTTATGGTATAAGGTGGTGGCATGTAAGAAATAAAGTTGTCTTGTACCAAGTATCCCTGTTTCTTGATATAAGTTGTTCGTTGGATATAATCTTGACTTATGGAAAATGGCTTTCAAAACAGTTTTTTTGTGCTATATCTAGGTCAGAAATATATGTATGTCTTGCAGGCGGCACCCCAGGCTGTGATGCCGTATATTATATGGGTTTCAACTAAGGCATGGTATAGGATTCGCAGATAACTTTCTGTAAGAATGTTAGCAAGCATTTTGAGTTTATAGGCAACATTTCTAATTTTTTTGATAACATATTTAATATGGTTCTCCCACCTTAGATGTGAGTCTATAAATATTCCAAGATATTTCAAAGTGTTAACTCTATCGATTTTGATGATAATTAACGGAAATTTGTTCGAAGGTAGGTAAAATTTTTGAATAGGATGTAAATGCAATAAATTTTGTTTTTTTGAAGTTAACTGTTGAAATTTTAGTATCAAACCAGTCAATGATCCTTATAAAATCCTGTTCAGCTATTTGCTTCAGTGTGCTCCAGTCATCAGCTTTATATAATATGAGGGTGTCATCTGCAAAACATATAATCTTTCCAGAACTGTTAATTTTGAATAAGTCATTTAAGTAGAGACTAAATAATAGTGGGCCTAGTACTGTTCCTCGAGGCACACCACACTTGATGTACATTTTTTTACTGTAAGTGTTAGTGATTTTGACAGTCTGTGCCCGACTTGAAATCTTTCCATAACTTTCAGAAGCTCGACATGGTTAACCGTATCAAAGGCATTTTTTAGATCAACAAAGATACCAATAGTAGGTATCTTTTTGTTGACATTAGAATTAATTTCATCCATTGCAGCCAAAATTGCATATGTAGTAGATTTTCCTTTTCTAAATCCATATTGGTCAGAACATATAATTTTGTTTTTGTCCAAAAATTGTAATATCCTTTTTTGTAGTAATTTTTCGAAAATTTTGGCTATATTCGATAGTACTGATATGGGTCTATAATTTGATGTTTCCATTCTGTCACCGCTTTTATAAACAGGAGTAATAACAGTTGTTTTAAATGCATCAGGACAAATTCCAGATTGGAAACACCAATTAATGACGTAAGAAAGTGGTTCGGCTAAGTCGTAGGCTATTATTTTTAAATGGTCAGCTTTGATACCATCTACACCAGGACTTTTTTTGGTTTTAAGTGATAGGACAGCTTCTTGTACATCAATCGGACTAACGCTTTCTAAAAAGAATGAATTGGGAAGTTGGGTTTTTGTGAACTTTTCGTTCGAAACCATTTTTTTAATACTGGATGCTAAATTTTCTCCAACATTAGTGAAAAAATTTAAGAATGCATCGGATATTTGTCGTTTAATATTTGGCTTTTCTTGAACGTCTTTGTTAGTTAAGTGATCGACAACTGATCACAGTTTTCTTGGATCAGATTTGGCATCTTGTATTTTTTTAGATAGAATTGGCGTTTTGCTTCTCTAACTAGATTGATAAAAATATTTTTATATTCTTTATATTTATGGGATGTATCTGCACATGGCGATGCTTTCATTATTTTGTATAGTTCCTCTTTTTTGTTGGCAGACTTTATCAAACCTTTAGTTATCCAGGGATTCCTGCTTCTGTCAAAAGGTTTAATTTTAACTCTGTTTGTACTTCATTCAATTAAATATTTTATGCGTTCAATGAGTGTGTTTGCAGCATCATTAACATTCGTTGCACAGTACACTGCTGTCCACGATTCTAATTTGAGATTTGCAAGTAGTTTTTTATTATCGACAAAACACCTAAATTTCACTGTTTCATTATTGGAGATGGATCTACTTTTATGTTTTTCTGGTGATGATATAAGTATTACAGTGGGTAAATGATCGGTAATATGGTTTTCAACAATTAACGGTATGTACCGACAGAAATTTGAACATTTTTTGACGAAACAATGATCAATGCAAGAACTGGAACTATTATTGACTACTCTTGTTGGTAAATTTCTATTTGATATGAATCCATTGCTCTGCATTACAGTGAGGTATTTGTTTACTAATTTGGTATGTTGGAGTATATTAATATTCATATCTCCTATTATGATGTGGTGTGACTGAATGGCATTTTTGTTATCTAACAAACATTTTTCAAGATTTTCTACAAATGTATAAGGGTTTGATGATGGTGGTCGGTAGACAGATGTGACTTTTACACTTTTGTTATTAATTCTCAATATCAAATCCAACACTGTGATACCGTCATCAAATTTAACAAAATCACATCTGTAATTGATATCATTTCTTACATATACTACCACCCCATCATTCTGGTTGTACGTACCATTATTGTAAAGCGTATCATAACCTTCCAAACAGAACAAAGATACATCATTAATTTTCCAAGCTTCTGTTAATATCATTATATCAAATTTGTGTTTAATTGTAGTTAGGAAGATATTAAAACAGTCAACATTTTGGTTTAGGCTTCGTATATTCATGTGATATAAGATAACATTGAAATTAGAATATTCTAACCATTTATTAAGAGCATTTGCGTCTTGAGCAATATTTGTATTGATATCATTAACCTGAAAATTATGATCTTAATTTTCGGTCTCATTTCTCTTGCTCCTGATATATTGTATTTTCCCTTCAACTTAGTTTCTAGTTCATTTTTGAGTTTCTGGTAATAACATTGCTCAACTTGAAGTTCGACGCCGCCGTTTTTATAATTATTTACTTTCTCTATCTTGACTTCAATACTTGCTAGATTAATGTTACTAGTTAGGTCTTTTCTGGTGTCATTATAATGTTGGGTCCTTTCGGGAGTAACTAATATGGATTTCATGTCATTGTTGTTCTTGTTGTTGCTATTGATTTTAGGAGTATTTTGCTTTAACATTTGTGAGTATGATGTATTCTCTGACGTTCTTTTCTCAAGTTGTTCTAGTTGATCAGTTACAATAGCCAAAGTAGATACAACGGATTCCTTCTCTACTATGTTGGCAGAAATCAAGTCATATGCTTCCTGTAGTCTACGGTTTTCATTTACCAACTGATATATAAATCTTTCCTTTTCTTCCAAAAGCTGTTTAAGATAATAATTCTCTTTGACAATAGTTTCTTTGGTACTCTTTTCACTTACGCTAATTTGAATATTTGGTTCTAGAGTTTCGTTTTCGCATTTATTTTTCTTCTTTTTGGTCATATTGCATATGAACACTCCTTATATCAATTTCTCATAAAGTTCACTTTGACAGAATGAATTTGTCAACAATTGTCAATTTGGTATTACGGCCGCAAAATAGTGTTAGATGATGAAAGGATCTCACCAATTAGCTCCACAAATCTGGCCGATTCGAAAGACAAGAAAAAAGTGAAAGAAGTTCTACTTGATCAGCAGCGAAATCTGTTGTAACCCATAAGTGTCCTCATATTTTCCTTATGTCTTTACTTGGATTATACTTTATTCTATCGTTATTGTATACAGATACAAAAATTAGCAAACGAAGTTGTACATATCTCCTTCATCTTCTGACCTCCCAAAATACTGAACTGCAACGTCGCATTAGCGCCTAAGGTGGTTAAGCAAGTAGTGGCGAAATGATATGGACTATAGATGAGTAGCGTCACTCCGTCGTTAAAACAGTTTTTGGCGAGGTATCTGAAATTACATTGTGGTATACCAAATCCTACATGCAGTAAAGCAAACTGTGTGCTTACATCCTAAAAGCTTTTTCAGTATAGATAAAAACAATCACTTTGTTTTTTGAAAGTTCGTATTTATTTTTCAGCGAACATGAATAATGTAGACTGAAGAGTATAAAATTAAATAAAGAAATGGAACATCACATCTATTTTCTCGCAATATACTTGAACCATCTACTTTGGAAATGTTTGGCAATAATCATTGACGTAGAATGCAAAACTAAATAACAAATGTGTATCGTATTTTCTTCTTTTTGGTACTACCCAGTCATGAATCACAAAAATTTAGTTGTTCGATAAAAAGAGTTCCAGCACGATGTAATTTAAAACTAACAACTTTCTAGGAGAGCATAAAAGAACGGAATGATCTTATAATCGTCCATGTTTGTTTAGTCGCAAATGAAACCTCATAAGCTAATAGTGCCTACTGATGACATTCCGGCAATCACTGTGGCTTTTTTAAGCAAAGACATAAGTTATTCTATGTGTTTAGTGGTGTTACAACTTAACCGACGATGTCTCAAATTCCAAATATGTTAGAATAACAATAGTCGCCTTTACATCATTAGCGGAGCATCGAAATATTAGCACCCCACTGCTAGTTTCGCAACACGTAAAACAATCCGGTGTTTTGCGGTCAACTACCTTCAGGTGACCTTCATTCCTGGATGTTTAGCTTACCTCCTGACTAGCTGCTATATCACAGACATCACAGTTTAACTGCATGAAGGATTTGGTATACCACAATGTAATTTCAGACACAAAAACTGTTTCAACGACGGAGTGACGCTACTCTTCTATAGTCCATATCATTTCGCCACTACTTGCTTAACCACCTTAGGCGCTAATGCGACGTTGCAGTTCAGTATTTTGGAAGGCCAGAAGATGAAGGAAGTATGTGCAACTTCGATTGCAGATTTTTGTACCTATTAATTTTCAACAATTTTTTTTAACATCTCGTATTGTTAAGGGGGTTAGATGGTAGAATAAATATATAATCTAAATCTCGCCTCCTGTAAGAATATTACAAATAAAAGACGTTAATTATTATTATTTCAATACCACATGTCCACAAACAACGAATTGATAAATTTTACTACATTTTCATAACTTCCCTCTCATAGATAGTTGCCAACAGAATGATTGTAACATTTAGAGCCATATTCACTGAACTGAACTGAACTGAAAAATGAAAAATAAATAATAGCTTACAAAACTAAAAAAACACGCTTTTATAGCTAACCGAACTAAAGAGTAGAAAATAATATCTAATTACAAAGAGTTTATATTACAGTAGTAGATGGTCGAACAATCAATCATAATTAATGGCCTCAAAATAAACTTATAATAAAATTTAAGTTATTAACAGAATAATTCAATTCAGAGTAAAAAGCGTGGGGTGTATTTTACTACATTTTCATAAATCTCCTCTCATAGATAGTTGCCAATAGAATGATTGTAACATTTAATATATCAAGCACCCCTCGCTTTTTACTCTGAATTGAATTATTCTGTTAATATCTTAAATTTTGTTATAATTTTATTTTGAGGTCATTAATAGTGATTGATTGTTCGACCATCTACTACTGTAATATAAGCTCTTTGTCATTAAAAATGATTTTGTACTGTTTAGTTCGGTTAGCTATAGAAGCGTGTTTTTTTTTTTGGTTTTTTAAACTATTATTTATTGTTCAAGAACTTGTTACGTTATTTTATGTCTTCTACTTCTACATATGTCCAGAAAGTTGACGAGGTTTTCAGGACACACTGTGCAAAGATGTATTACTCTTTGACGCTATTTTTTGACATCATTATTGGCAAAACAATTTGAATTATAGTCTACTTTACCAAATGAGCATATTTCTGAAGATCTCTATTTTTGTTACTTGATAGTATTACTTATTAACATGAAGTTTCTTTTTCTTACAGACGTTCTGCGTGGTGTCGAAACGGTTTCGCAAGAACTACATCCACCGATTCACGGCGACGAAGTCCTTCTTCTACTTCAGCCCGTTCAATCCCATCCGACGGGCATGTATATACTTGTGCACCAACCAATTCTTCGATTACATCGTCATGGCCACCATTTTGCTCAACTGCGTCTTCCTTGCCATGGCTGAGACGATCGAAGAAGCCGAGTGAGTTACTACGTTCCTCTTTAGAGTGTTAGACAACTTAGGGTGATACTGATTTATTCTTTTAAGAACTTAGAAAAATAATAACACAGGCGTCATTTATACTACGACATGTTATTACGAATCGATGTCACAACTTACACGGAATATGAAAGGGATTCCTTAAGAATCCTTTATGGAGCCGTCATTGTCAGCATTAAGTATTTTTATTTTACCCATGAGTCAGATGTTTGTAATGGAGCTTCAGTAGTCAGACGTTATAGAATTCAGTGTTTTTGCTCGAGTTTTATGTAAAAGTCGTATACTTCGAGTAGTTCAATTATTTGGCAGCTTTACCTGAAAAGTTTTGGTTCATATTCGTATCGATTTCTACGTGCACTTGCACTTGCATCAGCAAGTTTTCTTAGTCACACATATACCAAAACCTAAAGGCAACCAAAAATGTAAGTTCTGAAAAACTCTAAATGGGCCAGCCCCCCTCCTACAAAAAGGTATGATGTTTTGTGGTACTATGACTATGTGAGTCGGTCTCCAAATCAGGCGCTGCGGGTGTGTAGGTTAACCTAGCTTATAAATAAACCGTAATTAGAGAAGCCGAAATTGGTGCATTCGTACAGCAATAACGTAGTTATAGATTAGATGTTAGACTGCAGTGAGTCTATTCGAAATCCTGTTGATACTCCGCGAGTGTACTCAAAGCGTCGCTGTCGACCTCAATGCTTCCATCTGAGCTGCGTTGGTTTGTTTATATCGTGCGAAATCCATCTGGATGGAGACAGTAGAAGACCTAGATAGCCCCAAATGTAAATTTAGAGAAAAGCGGGCAAACATGTAATCTGAATCAAGCGAAGGCATCTTCAAGCAGTATTTGCAAACAAAGCATGTGACAGAGCAGTACTTGAAATTTCTTATAAATTAAATAGTGAGTATTTTTCTTCAATGTTTTTTATCTTTGCAGTAGTTTTACCGCAATTAGCCCTGTTATTTCAAACGCAATTGTTCCTAAAAAGGAAAGTCTCAGCTTGAAGGACACCCTGCTTAAATATTTAGCGGCCGGCCTGGCCGTACGGGAGCAAAATATGGTAGACGATTTTGATAGATGCATCCAATAGCATTGTAACTGATACTTTGATAGTTTTCTCTTTTTGAACGACTTACATAGATTATACAGAATTTCCCCAAAGTTAGGACTTTACACAGCGTGTAGGTCAGGCAATATACAGGGATTTTCACAACTTATCCGACAAATTTTAACCACACATGCACTGTTACGAAAGAAGTTGATTTCTCAAATAAAAATGTAAGTCCTACAGAAGTTAGTTATAAACCTGAGTTTCAATAATAAATTGAAACAGAAATATCTTTATTTTGCGTTCATCGTCGGGATATTAGAACACGTATTAATAATTTATTGTAGCAAACGTTATACCAAACAACTGACGAGAACAAAATACCAGGAATTTTTTGTTTTTTCATACTGTTAAGAACGTGTAAATAAGGTTTAATCTGCATCTTGGGTGACCTGAATGAAGAACGGTCGATTTTTTTTGGAGATAAATAAGAAAGAATTTTGCGAGTTTATGTTTTTAGTTATTTATTAATCAAAATGGCACATATGCAGACTAATGAGAAATTAGTGGATATTGTTTTAGCTTACGGAGAAGCAGGGCAAGATTCGCGAGCCCAAGTGGCTTCTCGTTTGTATGCACACCGATTTCCGAATAGGCACATACCACATCACGATACATTTAGTTCAATTGTTCTACGTGCACGTGCCAGTGGAGATTTGCACCCCAGACGTGGAGTGGATGGGAGTCGGGTTCGCCCAAAATCCGTTTTAAATGCCGAAGACGAAATTTTTTTATTACCTCGATTTCTGTAGGACTTTTATTACATTTTTTTGAGGAATCAACTTCATTTGTAACAGTGCATATGTGGTTAAAATTTGTCGGATAAGTTGTGAAGCACCCTGTATAGTATATGTGTTATATAGTAGTATCACATATACCACGGTTTTAAGGTGTAAGTTCCGAAAAAATATAAATGGGCACACTGCCTCCCTTCCCTCCCACAATCCCCTCGTATATGATGTTGGTGAACTATGGCTATGTGAGTCAGTATCCAAATCAGGCACCGCGTGGTGAGCAGGTTAACCTAGTTAATGAACAAACCACATTTGAAAAGCCGAAATTGGCACATTCTTAATACAATAACGTAGCCTTCGATTTAAAGTGAGCATATTCAAGTTTCTTTTTATACTCAGAACGTCGCCATCATACTCGATGTCTCTTTCCATCAGAGCTGCATAGGTTTCTTTATATCGGGCAAAAGTCTGGGTGAATACAATAGAAGACCTAGACCACCCTAAACCTTGCAAATTTAGTAAGAGGTAAGCAAACTTGTATTTTTGTGTCAAACAACAATAGCATCAAGCAGTATTTACAAACAAAATATGTGACAACGAATATTAATTTTCTTAAATCCTTTTTTCACGTTTTCGGCGCCATTTTACCGCAAATTAGCTTTGTTATTACAAATATAGTTGACTCTGAAAAGGAAAGTCCCAACTTTCAGGACACCCTGTGTTTGATAGTCATGTTAACTTGCCTTACAAAAATAGCGTCTTGTTAGTGTGAATTCAGAAAAACTGTGATTTAAGTATGATTGTTGCTGCCCTATATTTGAAAAAATTACGGTAATATCATGGTAAGGATCATTACTGTTCTACTAAAAATCAAGTTCAATATTGTAACGTAGCATACGAGACTATCACGTCTCATCGGTTACATCAAAACATGGTATTTGTCTTTACGATAATCTTGCACGAAAAAAAATATTACTCAACAAGCACGCTCGTGTATTCGTCATATAGATTACAATTCTAGTGTGACTTTTGAAACACCGCGCGGTCTTAAGCTCTTTATGAATATTTTGTGAAAATATATGAATTTGAAAATGTATGTCAAGTTTTCCTGTTTTGACGAGGTTTCTCCACCACGGTATCATTATACCGGGTGATTCTCCAATGTGACTCACCCCTGTAACTTTTTTATTATTAAAGAAGAAGAAAAACGAAATTCGAGGGTTACGTATTATAGATGAATTTACTTTTTTTAGATATTCAATTGCTTTGACGTACTTCTGGTTTGACCGGAAACGACTCCAACTTTCGATTTTTAAATGGGACCCTGTATATTTTTACTTTTTTCGTTCGAGAATGATATTCTGAACTGAACAGCGCATCACTTGCCAATATTTGACAAACAGAGGCAGTTTTATTTTAATTTTTATTTTCCGACCTAGAATGCCATGGATCCTGTAAATCGCTTCACTTTTGGTCAAGTAACACAGAAAAAATACGATTTTTAGACGAATGACCTTACAGTCGTTTTAAAGTTTCTCTTTAAGTTACCTACAAACACTAATCTTTTAAGTTACTTGATTTAGTTAAATATAAAGGGGGTGGCTCGTTGGCTTTTTCTGAAAAACCGTTTCCGTACGAATAATTTGACACTCTTATCTTATTTTCACAATTTTTTTGAATAATTATAAAAAAACGATCATAACCAGCATAACAACAAATAATTCGTATCTGCATTCGGTATACCTATGCATGAAGTCCTATTATTCTAGTAATCCGTGATAAACAACTGAATGTGTTGCTTTCGAAATACAAAATGTTCAACGAACTGGAAGAAAATGGGAACAACTTTATACTATCATTATTTATTGTAACAAAAAATAAAATTCGAAAACTTGCGATTAAGGTTGTGAGTGTCGTCATTCTGGATGACAGCAAAGTTCAATTTTTACAATTGTTGCTTGCACCACATTGATTTACTGTTATGCTCTAATTTTTCGCGATTCAGCTACCTTTATACCCTTGATTTTTAATTGTCCTGCAAAGAAAAAATCTAGCGGAGTACGATCTGGTGATCTAAAATATGGAAAACAAATTATACGTTCTAAAAAAATATGACAACTTGAGGATGTAGATTGGAGGCCATTGAATAGGTCCATTAGTGCCAATCCACTTTTCTGGGAAGGTGTCATTCATATGTTCTCTTACAGCATGAGAATTTTGAGGTGGAGCCCCATCTTGTTGAAAACAGATATCAACTTGGTTAGCCAATGGCAACTTTTCAATGAAACCATTTATTTCATTATTTAGGAACTGTAGATATCCAGCAATTAAAACCAAATAGCTCTTGAAATTTTCCTTCTTGCATTAGACGTATGTTTATTTGTGACCAGTACCTTTTGTTATTCCGAATGAACATACCCAAGTTGGAAAACCGACATTCGTCTGAATAAAAACGTACATATCGGTATTTAGTCAGAACCCAGTTGCAATAAGTTAATCTTCGGTTGTGGTCATCGACGTGAAGATGTTGCTGTAATTGGTACTTGAATGATCGATAATCATATTTGTGAAGAATTCTCCAAACGGATGAATAACTTATATCACATTCTAAAGCAATTTGTCGAACTGACGGTGTACAATTTACTCCAACATAGGTCTATTTCCTTTTCTTCACGGACGATAAAGTTATTGGCATTTACTTCTGGTTCGTTTCGCATTTTCTGATGCAGTTTTTGAAAATAATGCCGAGTGGGATGTCGATGATTCGGGAATCTTCGAGAATAAATTCGAGCTGCCTCAGTCACATTTTTTTCTTGCTTCCCCGTAAATCAACAGCATGCCAATTTTCTCGCTTCTAGTTTCAATAGTAAATTAACTACGTAACAAATATATTTTTAAAACTGACAGTATTTTTAATAACCTAGATTAGATATTTGTTGAAGTAACCCTAGCAACACCTTCAATTGCCTGTCACGGATAACTAGATTATATGACTTAGAGCATAGGAACACCGGATGCAGATGCGTATTATTTGTTGTTAGGTATGGTCGTTTCTTGCAATTATTCAGAAACATAGTGATAATAAAATAAGAGTGTGTAGTGTCAAATTATCCGTAAGAAAATGGTCTCTTAGAAGCCG